TCGCCCACTCGGCAAACACTTTTTAAATTGCTTAATAAGCCGCCTACCCGCAGCAGGAGACTGCAGCAGGAGACTACAGCCGGTGCTGCTGCAGGCACGGCAGCAACAGCAACAACAACAGCAATCAGGTAAAAATAATATTTTAATTGCTAACCAAACAACTGACATCTATCGCACACAAACACGGCTACACACACACACACATACACACAGAGATAGTCACAAGTGAATGCAAAGTTTTGCCCAGTTATGCTTATTTTACAAATTAGCCCCAAACATTTCGAGAGTAAGGGGAAACAAAAATATGAAGAAAGACAAAGGCAGCGAAGGGGCGGGGGAGGCGGGCATCTGGCGAGGATAAGCGAGACAAATGCGTAGCAGCTGTGGGACATGGTTATAGCAGTTTTTTGGCCAGCAGCCCATGCTCTAGAGCCGAAACGGGGGCGAGGGTGGGGCTGAATTCTCGTGGCAGCAACTTTTGATTGCAAATTATTTGCAACACACACATATATAGACACACACACATACACACACAGATAGAGGAACGCGCGGGCACACACTGCCTGTCAAAAGTTGGTTGCCAGCGGCAACAGCAACTAGTTAGTTGTTGTTTTGGCAGTGAGCAGAAATTCTGTTGCCAGTTTGGCAAACAAAAATTATGCAACCAGATAGAGCAGCACACAACAATAATAAATGTGTAATATATATACGTACATATGTATATACATACATATATCCAGATACATACTCGATGCGATGTATGGAAATGTGGAGCTTGACAATTTCTAAATGCAACAAATTTCAAATTTTAATAATTAAAACTCATTAACACTTTGCCCTGGGGGACATTTTTGACAGTGGGCGGGGCGTGGGCGGCACTGGCCAAAGATTAAATAAAAAATGAGCGATGACTTTTCACAGCATGCTTAAAGGGAGTCGGGAGCTGAAAAGGGTTTCTGGCTCGGCAAATGAATTGAGTCGAGTGTTGGCAGCCTGGGCGCTTATTAATTATGCAGCAGCTGGCGGAGTAGCTGAAGAATTTCTGCGACTTTGGAGACATTGTGTGTAATTTATGGCATAAGCAAATTGCAAGCAACTGAATATGCCATGAGCACTTGCCGTTCACTTCATCACGAAGCCCGCAGTTGCAGCTAACTGGGGCAAGGCTGCGCCATAAGGCAGGAGGCGCAGTTCGTTCCATGCATGCAACATTTGATGGCCCGAAACACAGAACGAAAACAAAACAATATTATTAACAATTCAACGTTTAGGCCAAGGCTGCAATATACTTCCGGCTCGAAAGTAAAGAAGAGGACACAGTCGTCGGCAAGCAAAGAAACCCCTATGAGGAGCACATCAAGAAAATGCCACGCGGCAAATGAGAAAACAATAGAGCAATGAGCCTTGGACGCAAAACGTGTCCGAATGTGAACAATGAAAAGGGTTTCGCATTTGCTGCACGTTCCTGTTGTTATTGCTCCATTGCTCTGTTGCTTGTCAGCCAGTCGACAGTGACAGTCGACATTATTAAAACACAACTTGCCTAGCAGCGAAAAATAAAAAGACGTTTAAGCAAAGGCTGAACAATTGGGCAAAGTCCCTAAATGAGCAGCAGCAGCTGCGTATATCCATTGTTCAGGTGTTGGGCCCAAGAATACGTTTCGGCTTAAAAAGTACTTCATTTCATTCAAGGTATTCAAAACAATATAAATAAGTATAAATCTAATAAATTCAAAGACAGATCAACCAATGGCAAAATTAGTTTCATAATATAATTCAACGTGATGAATTTATTATTAAATAAAAACAAACGTATTTCAAATACTAGAGACTTGTACTATGGCATTTGAATGTTATTATCATTTTATCTCCAATTTCGATGAAGATAGTCCCACTAAAAGAGGATTTATTCGAGACATAAGATCTGCTTTGCTTACTATTAATAGTCATTCATTCATTAGGTTAACTCATCATCATGCTCATCTAGTTTAATTTGGGCTCCTAGGTTTTCTCTGCAGTCGAGCTCAAGGAACCCCTTCCTGTCAAGTGGCCTTGATTAGATCAGCGTCTTTGCAGCTTGCTGTTAATTAACTCGAATTCCCAAAATTATATCAAATGCAGCATTCAACTTTTCGTGCACTGCACGAGCAGCAGGTGGGCGTGTCTGTGTGTGTGTGTGTGTGTGAGTGGGTTTGTGTTCTGGTTATTCATTAGGCAAGCATGGAGCACTTTTGCTTCAGGTGGGTAACAAGTTGCAGTGTCGCCCAATATAATGCATATGTACGGCCCTATTTTGGCCCACTGTGCGCACTGTGCGCTACAAACTGCGATAGCTAATTAAGATTGAAGTTGCCATAGAGCAGCGCCACAGGCAGCAGCAGCAGTAGCACCAGCAGCAGCAGGAAAAGCCACCGCAAAACCAGAAACATGGCAACAAAAACTCTGGCTGGCTAATTTATTATGCCAAGCGTACTAAAAGCTACTGCCTCAGCGAGGGGCGTGCCATTGTAAAGGAAGCGCCTATATGTCGTAGGTGTCGAGCTGACAGGTGCTAACGACCACAGTTAAACAACTGATGCACGTGGCAGGCCAGCCAGTTGCCAATTGCCGATTTCCAATTGCCAGCTGGTTAGTATCTTCGTTTTGCGGTCAAGCATAAATTCTATTCAAAATCAGTGCATGGAGTTGCAAGCGACGTTTGTGAGCAAAGTTTTGTAATTTGCGGCAATTGGAAGTATTATTTTGTACGCCTGGCAAACTTTTGGGTAACTCGTGTCGTGTCCGTGTGGGACACTCCACAGGAATTTCAAATAGAATTGTGGCATATTTTTGTTTTCAATTTGCGCAAAGCCACAAAAATTATCCCAAGAGTCAAGAGCGCTGAAAGAGGAGACAGTAAAAATCAAAACGAATCAGCGCGTTTTTGGGTCAATCACCGGGAGAAGAAAGAGAGGGAGAACGAGGCAGGACATGAAATACGTGCCGAGCATGTGCTTCTTATGCCCTGTACCCAGCAATCAAGAGGGGTATATTGGCTTCTTGTAAAGCTCCAAAATCAAATCTTTCAAACCATATTAAATATATAAATTGAATGGATTAATTTTATTTACTAAATCAAGTAATTATACTAATAATAATAATATTATTAGGGATAATGTTTATATATTAATATATTTAATAAAATACAAAATTTATATATATTTTTTGTGTGTATAAGCACATAAGAGAAGAGATGTAATGTATTTTATTTATTTATGATTTAGTATTGTATAATATATATAATATATAGTATTTGTATTTTATTTATATTAACTTAGGAATATATAAATAAAATACAAATGTGTTAAATATATTATACAATACTAAATCATAAATAAAATATATATGAAATATACATAACTCTTCTTTTAGTATAACAACTAAAGTCCGTTGCCTTGCTATTTTATTTATTTATAATAATTCTTCTTATCCAAATATTATTTATATGT